ACTTCTTTAATTTGATGGTCACGAAGAGTAGAAACATTATCTCTAGAATTTTCCCAAAAAATTCTTCCAATCATATTCAGGAAAATGTCCATATTCTCTCTAACTTCTCGGTCACTGAGCCCGGTAGCCGTTAGCTTGAGGCGTCTGGTCATCTTGTTGACGATGAGTGTAATGAGGATCTGGTAGAGACTTGTGGCTGTCGTGGCGCTGGTTATATTTGCAGGAGTCTCTAGCCACAGCACCACCAACATCGCCACAAACAGGGGCACCTTGGCCACCTCCAGCATCTGATTCTCATGGTCACTGAGGTATTGTAGGAAGTCTTTGCAGAATTTCTTGCAATTTGCTTTATTTTGCACTGACACTGCAAACAGTTTCTCCACATATTTTGTTCTGTTTTCTTCTGAAAAACCATGAATAGAAAACACAATATTAGAAACCTTTACGTCGCTCAACAGCAATTCTACATCTTTCGTACACTCAGTTCGAGTGGTGATGACAAACTTTGATTTTGGAAACTTAATTAGTATCTCCTTTATTAATAGTTTAGTTTTATGTGTTGCTTCATCATAACCGTCGATGAGCCAGAGTGTTGAGATCTCCTGCAGGATGGGGATCACGTCATCACTACTCAGACAGCGGCACGTTTCTGGCAGCAGCTGTTCCCTCAACAGCTGCTGCACGCTGCTCCAGCTGACATGCCTCGCCTCGACAGGCAATAAGAGATCGAAGTTATCAAGACCATTAGTTGATGGAAAACTAGACAACCAGTCATGTATCAAATACCGTACCAGACTAGTCTTGCCTATCCCAGGAGGACCTTGTAGAATGAGAGTGCTAGGTAGTAATCCTGATGGTGTTAGTGTTGTGGTGAACAAGTCCTGGGTTTCAACAAGCTCACCACCCATAATCTGTACCTCAGTGAAGATGTGGCCCACATCTAGGTGAGAAAAGTTGTCTTCCAAGAGCCAGACAAATGGGTTGAGGATACGAAGCTTCTTGGCCACATCCCTGATCTCCTTCTTTCCTTCCCTTACCATGGTGCTGCACTGTTGCTGCTGCAGGTTGTGTAGTGCCTCCCTGTATGGCTCCCAGAGGTCTATGCTTCCTGTCAATATCTCCTCCAGCGCTTCCTCCATCACCCGAACTTCAGCTGTTACCAGAATTCGACATCTCCGACCCGTCGCCACAAGCACCTCACGACAAAGTTCTTCAATTAGAGATATACGATCTTGCAGGTTCTCACGAGTTATTGACAGTTCCTCATGAGCAAATTCATTTCGGTAATTTTTCATAGTTCTTAAATTGTGTTCCAATGTTCCTCTAGTTGACCACTTGGCGTCATCCCTATGAGCTAGACCACAGATAAGCTGCAGCAGCTTGAATATGAGTGAAATATCATATACATCAGGAGAAACATTATCATCCAGGTGGCGTCGCTCCAGTTCACCGAAGTCCTTCTTGAATTGTCTGTTGGAATATCCTGGGAGACGATAAATAAGCTGCTTCATGTTGCTGTTATTCTTGGTGAGGAGTAGTAAGACCTTTACGAAGAGAGGACGCACCACCCTCATGATGGCAACATAGTAACGCAGCAGGTGGTGGTCATCAGGAAGTAGCAGAGGACCCATTGGCAGCAGCATCAACAGCAGCTTCCTCACAAGCCTCTCTCCCCACCACACGCCACTCACCAACATCTGCAGAACGAAAGTCAGAAGTGATTTATCGTTCAGACTTAAAACTTCCACAGTAAAGACCAAACTACCCAACCTCTAGTGATGTGAAGCTGTTATCGTCTATCCTAACAAGATCTTACGTCTGTTAGATAAGTAAGAATCAAGATTTCACTTCACCAACAAACCTGAGACATTTAACACGACTTCGGAGATACAATAGTCATAAAGTAGCCAAATGACATTCTGCACCACCTACGATCTACCCACACACAGAACCTCACCCACTGAATAGAAACCCAGGTTTTTACTAACCCTGGAATAATACCATGCTGGTGTTCTCGAAGCAGAAAAGAAGTAAACTATAGCAACATTTGATAAAACGTGCTTAACATTTTAGGCCTGTACGTCTTGCTACATAGGTTATAGAAAGTATAATTGTCCTCTGATATATTTTTTTTAAACATAAGACACGTCACTATCATTGCTAATCTGGTAAAATGTCCAATTCTATGAGTCACACCAGTTGTACTTTACCTTTCTTAATTCTGAAGCATAACACACAGATGTTTACAAACACCGTCCTTACCAACACCACAGTTCATTGTCTACTGCATGTCGTCCCTGGTAGGATATCCGGATAGAGATAACTAACTATATGCTTGTCTTGGCGACTCATGATCTACTTATTTTAGACACAATATACAACAATCTTTAATTATTGATCCATTCACTTGTTCATTACGTATTACAGTTCCAAATAGTTATGAGAAATTGTTAATATGACACTGAGCAAAAATATCTCCAGCATTATCATAGGAGTATAATAACTGGTTGTGGTTGTCTTAAACATTGTTAATTCCACCTCCATAACATTATGTACTGCCTTTCATCCTAGAATTATCTGATTTGTCAATGTGTTTGATTATTATTTGTTAGGAAAATTTATTATGTTTTTTCTGAAATTTCTTAGAATTTGAATATTGAATGTATTAGAGAATTATTGCTTTCATATTCTCTTTTTTATAACACTGATATAAAGTATGTTTATGTTCTAACATGACAAACACACACACACACACACACACACATACACAAACAACCATAATTATGCTTTAAGTAATATTTATGATTTAGTTAATACAGTCAAGCAAAGTCTTTATACTTTAAAATGTGGAATTATATGAGTAAATTATGGTTATGGTGAGTTATTTGAGTTACTCCACAGATTAATTTTCATTCTCGGGCAGCCAAAGAAAACGCTTTGAGGGGCAACCTATCTATTTTTTCTTTATCTCTCCTTATTTACCCAATGGCCACCCAGTAGAGGTGGCTATGCCGAGGGGAGGAGGCCAGTTCTTTTGATATTTCTGTCAAGGGTTTGGGCTGGTGGACAGTTTAATATGTCTACCACCCTCTGTGTGAAAAATTATTTTTTATTCTCGTTGTGCATAATAATTTGGCGAGCTTGTTGTTATGTTCCCTCGTGTTGGTGGTGCGTGGCATCACAAAGAAATGTCACAGGTTCATGTTTTCCATCACTTTCAGAATTTTGAATGTTTCAATGAGATATGCCTTATTGTGCCTTGTATAATGAGTTGTTAATTGTTATTTATTTATTTATGTGATATTATTCTTTATGCTCATACAAGTATTATATTACAAGGTAAATTGTCACACACACACACACACACACACACACACACACACACATATATATATATATATATATATATATATATATATATATATATATATATATATATATATATATATATATATATATATATATATATATATTACACAAATGTCTACATCATCACAAACTCGAAACTCATGATTATAAAACTCTATAAATTTCTTTTTTTATATTTCAAAATTTATTGTCCACCTTTCATTAAGTTCTGAGAATTTCAAGATGAATACATTTGTGTGTGAAGGAGGAGGAAGAGGAGGAGGAGGAGGAGGAAGTACAAGGGTATATCTCGCCCTGTAGCCACTCTGTCTTCTGCTTCAACAATATGCTAATAAGTTCCCAGACGTTCAGATTGTCCTAATTATGTTAATATATGCTAAACGGCCTCGTGTGTACCATGTTAGGTTAGGCAGACAGGTATTGTGGGAGCATTCGAATGATGGTAATATGTGGCCGGTCGGAGCATGGCGTTCACACTCGTACCAAAAAGGTGTTTCATGTACCCAAGGAGAAGCGCTTGGGGTGGGGGGGGGGGTTATCAGCAGCAGTTCTGTTGAGTGAGGTAGACTATGATAAAGGATGGCTAAAGCTAGTGCTGGAGGCAGAAAGACAATCTGTTTAAGGCTGCTAAATCAACTTCTCTCTCTACACAGGTGGTATACTGTTTAGTCGTTTAGTAGTAATAAGACGATCTTAATGTTGACGTAAGTAAAATTTCTGTGAAGTAATCCGTCAAATAATTACTTGTGATTATATTTTATTATCTTATCTATCCACAAGTGTTGGTATTGATACAAGTTTATGGTCTTATCTGCTACAACATTCCTCACCTTAACTCACCTCAATAAACGTCAACATTGTGGAAATATTCAGTATTGATCTGTTTGTCTTTAAAGTATTTCTCCAACACCTTCCCCCCACTTACACTAGACTTCTGTGTAGTGTAACAGAAGCCACGTCAATTTAATTTGTTTGTTTCATTTATATCTGATAGATTTAATAAGAGATAAGATGGAATGTGTATTTTTAATTAGTGTTTTTGTGTAAGTGGCTCACCTGTATACTGTTATATAATATACTTACTATAGATTAGATTATACCGTATGTTAGGTATATATGTTAAAGTATACTTGTGCTGTGGATGTATTATATGAATAGTATACTGTATATGCAGATAGTATATAGTATATCCCATGTAGTTCTCTTCCTATAGAGAATATATTTTAGCCACACAAGCTGGAACGTAAAGACATAACAAAAAATAATGAAATGTTTTCTTCTGATTCTGACATCATGTTTATTTGTATTTTTTTATCTGAGTTATTTACACAAAAACATTTTCATACAACAGTACAAAAAGTAATACAGAAAGAAAACATAGATTATAGATTCTATTTTCTTTTAAGTTATTGTTGTGATGAAAGCAGTTTGTGATATTGAAAAAAGATTGTTTGAGTTACTTCTATGGTTAAGTGAAAAAATATATTGCGTTGTTTCTTAACTGTATATAAACTTCTCTAGTGAAAACAAGACCTGGAAAAAAATGTAAAATAGATGAAATATTATTCCTTTGTAAATCTCGAAAAAAAGAATAAAGTTAGAAATGTTATCCTTCAGCATTACCAACACACACACACACACACAATACCACTAATATACAACCATCACCACCACCACACAACATCACCACCATTACATCACCACTACCTGTCACCATCACCAACCACCATCACCACCCACCCCCCAGTCACCATCACCACCCATCCCCCAGTCACCATACACCACCATCAACCTGAATAACGACAGCAACCCTCCACTCACTATAGCCACACTAATTTACCGTACTGGGAAAAAAAAAATATTCAGAGGCCACAAATTGACCTGGAAATATGTAGGCTATATGTCTCTACCAAAATGCAGATAAATGGACACATGCAGCCACTGAACACTTTGTGGTTATGTGTGAGAGTGTATGAGGGTGTATGAGGGTGTATGAGGGTGTATGAGGGTGTATGAGGGTGTATGATGAGGTATGGTAACTCCTCTATTTTCTCCCTCACTCCTCCCTAATCCCTCCCTCACACTCACTCATTCAATACCTGACTAGTAAAGAAAATTAAGTCACAAGATCAATGAATGACCTGTATTGGTTAGGTTAAGTTTGACACTGTGACCATTCGTATTAACAAACCTAAAAAAAATATTATACTTTTCACCATTTTTTTTCCCTCAGAGAAGTTTCCTCCTCCCCCCCCCCCTAACCCTAACTCATTAATTATAACTTTTACTTCTCTCTCCTCACTGATTCAAAGTCCAAAAGATCGGCAAAAGTTGGATAGATTTTTTGGGAGCTTATGAAAGATTGTGGTGAGATTAGTATAATGTTCTTCCGTATTACGCGTGTCTATGGTCTTTTACGAAGCATAATGAATGAATGAATGAATGAATGTATGAATGAATGAATGAATGAATGTATGAATGTATGAATGAATGAATGTATGAATGAAACACGACAATATAAAAGCCAGGGAAAGAAAAGAAGTGGAAATGGAATAGTAAGTGAGACGAGGAGAGAGTTGAGTGAGTCAGTGAGAGAGGTTATTGAGTGAGTGAGTTATTGAAAAGTAAAATAAAAACAAAAATTAAATTGTAAAGCAAAATCCACCTCCACGTTGTTTCTAATTGCTCCCAATTAAAGTCTTGTAAAGTCCTGAAAAAAATTAATAAAAGTTGATAAAAGTTTAGTGAAGGGGGGAAACACATCACCACCACCACCACCACCACCCTATTACCTCTGGCGTGGAACCATCATGTGTAGAGGTGTTCCTATTGTTAACAGTACAGGAGGGAGGGAAGACTCAAGGTACTAGGTGTGTAACGCCCTCCCCTCAAAAAAAGTATTATTACGATTTTGTGTGAGACAATATGACACGACGGACGAAGAATTTTGACAACCCTACCGAGACAACAGGAGTCGTAGTGTTCATTGTGAAATTTATCGACCCCCTCCGTGAAGATACTTTTTTGGGGAGTGCGAGTTATGTTTGTTAGTAATGCCAGTGGATGAGAGACGTACATAACACTAAGAGCGTAATTATTGTAAGTAATATAAGTGTAAGGAAGACATATAGGAAACACTTATAAAGAGTTACAGTGGATGGGAGGGGCTGTTTACACCAATACTCCCGTCTCAGTTAGCAAGACATAAAGTTTGTAAATGTCAGCCCGCGCCCCATGGTCATCACCTGGCCGTCCTCCCTCCTCTAATTACTCTAAATTATTACACACAGTCTCATTTACCTGTGATATATGCCTTCAGTAATGGGAGAGCAGCAGCAAGCAGCCCTCCTACCACTGCCGTATAAACGTAAAATATTAACACTACATTTATTTTGTCTAAACACATTACTTATATAAATACTTATACATAGATTAAAAATACTAAAAACTAAGGCATTATCCAGTCATTAGATGAATTGTATCAACACCAGATAATTATACAGGTAATAATATATTATTAGTCTTCAGGTAAACCATTCAATGTGTTAGCCGTAGATGTGATTAAATAGTACTCAAGGAAAACAAGTTATATCATTGTGTCTCTTTCCTCGTCAGTAGGTCTTAAGAGTTTGGCCTTGGGTAGGGAAGAAGCAAATTAATTATGTAAACTAAGTAATGAAATCGTGTTGTCAAAGTTATAATCCTTCACGTTCTAACTTTCTCTTTTGTGTAATAATTTCTTCTCTTGTAAACATACTCGGGTTCAGGATAAGGTCTACAACACGAACGAATTGATAAAAAGGTGTTTGTGGTGTTAGAGAGAGGAAGAACAGTTTGGTATGACAACAGTTAGAGGCAATTGTTGACGGCTAGTAGTGTGTCTCACCTCTGGGTCTCAGTGGCTGCCATAACCACAGAGTCGTGGTGTTGTGGCAATAGACTGGGATTTTCTAATGCATCAATGTTCTGCTGTACTACGGTGGTCCGGAGTCACTGACACCAGTAGTTAAGCGTTCCTGTAGCTGTTGATCTCTGTAGTACGCGGGGCATTATATATGTCACTTGCAGCTGCTACCCAGAGAGGTTAATACTGCAAGGAGAACACGAGGTTATGGCCAGCCTCTGAGTGAC